GCTTATACTGTTTAGACTCTAGTTCCTTCCATTACAAGACCACACAGAACATGTTACCACTGCTAAAATTTTCAAGTCATTAACAGGATAAATGCATCAGGAGCTCTTAAGTATTCTTTGTATTTTATTGGTGTGAAACAGGACGAGCTTTTCAGATTTTACACATTGTTCTATGGTTCTCTATTTCTGAGGTTTGCAGTATATGTTTTACAATTGCTTAAACAGCAAATCTTTTACTTTTACCCAAGGCTGTAAATCTATGGCTGTTAACAAACTGTTCCTAATACATATGATACTCTTTAAACAACCCTGGGATTGATGAGGTCAGTCTTCACCTCACTATAGAAAACTCCTTGTCAGAAAGGACCATGTGTTCTGAGCTTCTATTAAACAAGAGATTCCAAAAGCATACGTATAAATGACTGCTAACTACAACTAAATTCTTTTCCCTCACTATAACAAATCTTCTGTATATTGATCCAAAGTATAAGTAATTTTTTAAGCTTGATATTCATTTTATTGGATGAAGTTCAATGCATGAACTGGGGTTAAAATTTATTGAAGTAAAATAAAAATCAATCTGAACTACATGGCTTAAAAACCATGAGAATCAAACCTAGAAGAATAATGCAGCATCTACAACGAAGTACTACTACTAACATTTTCAGATTTTAAAGTTAGTTTTACATTTTAAAATATCCCAGTATTTTAACTTTATTAACTGTGAACTCAACTTCTAAAAATGTGCCCTTTTCCAGTGTCTTGTAAGATACTCTGCGTTTTATCAAATATATGAATTTTAAAAAGGATTAAATTTATGGGTGAAACCTGTTAACTGGTAATTCAACAGGATGTATCGCTATACACTGGGAACACAATCATGTATAATAGTTTTCATCATTCATCCAACTGCCATTTAGAAGCTAGAACTCAACAGTCATATCTAGAAAATCAAAACCAAAGCAGAAGAATCAATAATATGAGTGCCCCCTGCTCATAATATATCTCCCAATATTAATATACTTTTTATGTTTCGGTTGTCTGACATAGGGTATCAGGAAGCTCCAGGCTGTCCTTAAATTCCTAACCTCCTGCTTTCAAATTTTAAGTACCAATTCCCGACGTGTACCACTATGGCCTGCCTGAATATTCTCAATAATCCACCAGGTGAATATTATCTTAATTTTTGAGATGAAGGACCAGCAAATTCAAGACATTAATTCAGACCAAGCCTATTGTGGACAACGACATAGCTACTAGGTAAAGACAGCCCTAATTTGTAGAAACCTTCAAAATAATCTTGTACTACATGCATCACTAATTTGGAGTGTTACCAGAACTACAGAATGTTCATACATTATGAGCATTCAAAAAATATAATCCAAAAATAATAGTAATTGAAATTACATATATTAAGGAATGTTGCTGGGCGGTAGGTGGTGGCACATACCTTTAATCCCAGCACTCATGAGACAGAGTCACGCAGGTCTCTGAGTTTGAGGACAGCCTGATCTACAGACCAAGTTTCAGGATAGCCAGGGATACACCAAGAAACCCTGTCTCAAAAAAATGTTAAAAAAAAAAAGCAGGGGCTGGAGAGATGTCTCTGTCTCAGCAGCTAAGATCACTGGCTGCTCTTCCAGAGGACCCAGGTTCAATTCCCAGCACCCATATGGAAGCTCACAACTGCCTATAACTCCAATTCCAAGGGATCTGACACCTTCACACCAATACACAAAGTTAAATATGTTTTTTTTTTAAATCAAGCTGAGTAGAAAATGATTCAAATCATCAAGAAAAGATACTCAACCCACATAGGAAGAAACATTACAAGTCTTTTACTCTCTACCTCTTAATATTCCTCTGAATTTTACACTGATATATTTAAGTGTTTTATCTTCTCAGAAAGAGCAAAAGGAACTCCAGTATCCAGCTCTGATTCAGGTTTCATGACAATGGATAAAGGACCTCAACAATAAGGGAGAAATGTTCATTTTATCCTGACAGCTGCAAAAGTGCTCACACTATTTTGCATTTTAAATCTAATTTGCAGTAACTAATTAATTCAATTATTAGTTAACATTTAGTGTTATTAACCATTAAATATTAATCAGCTAAATTTAATAATGCAAATTATTTGCATTAATTAAACAGTAAATGAGAATATTCATATAAGAATTCATATCTCATTCTCCTCTAAAACAGTTTCATGCAAAGGGATCTTGTGAGACAACATGAAACAATCTGAAGGTTACAGCTTTATTACTTCAAGGTAAATGTTTAACTTCTAACTTCAAGAAAACAGTCCAATTTTTATCAATAGATACTTTTTTTCTGTCGAGATAGGGTTTCTCTGTGTAGCTTTGGAGGCTGTCCTGGAACTATCTCTGTAGACCAGGCTTAAGCTCACAGAGATCCAGCTGCCTGTGCCTCCCGAGTGCTGGTATTAAAGGTGTGCCCCACCACCACCTGGCTGACCAATGGTTATTTTAAAAAATATTAATTTTATTGAATGTTTATGGATGTTCAGTCTATATATGTGTCTCTGCCCCACATCTATGCCTGGTGCCCATGGAGGCCCCAAAAGGGCATCAGATCACCCGGGATTGTAGTTATAGATGGTTGTGAGCCACCAGGTAGGTGCTGGGAATTGAACCTGGGTCCCCTGGAAGAATCACCCATGCTCCTAATCACTGAGCCATCTCTATGTCCTTGGACATAACTTTCTATTTGTTGCTTTATTAATATTGTTCAATATTGGTTAAAATCTTCTTTAAAGGTATTAGGAATAATTGTAAAGTTCTTTTGCAAAACCAAAGGGATCTATAACATGGTTTTATTTTACTGCACTATAACACAGGTGAATTATTTTTGCATACTAAATATGGGATTTTCATTTAGATTATCAAATGTAAAATAAACTTATCAAAACTTCATCAATTGGAAATAATTTTAATAAAGAAAAATTAACTTTTATTTTACTTTATTTTAAAAAATAACGTCTTGGTATTTAACAGCCCAGGATGGACTCAGCCTTATGACCCTTCTCAGCACCTCAGTAGTGAGATTAGAGGCTCATGCTATTAGTCCAGCTCATTAAGACTGATTTTGCGATGAGAATAATTAGACAAGCTCCAAACAGTGTTACTTAAAAAAGTGTAATTACCTTCTTAATCTTTTAATTATAAAGGAAAATCTAGTCATCTCTATTATTTTAGTCTTGCTATTTTCACCCATCTTAACAAAAGCCAATGAGAATGGAGAGTGCTAACCTGACCTCAGCTGACCCATGATGAGCCCTCTACATTAGAAGCAATAGGAACAATGAGTGGTCATAATTATTTTATCAACATACAAACTCCTAGAAAATATTGTTAGTTTTTTTATGTTTACTTATAGAATTTTTTACTTTACAAGCCTTCTCTCCTGCCAGGTGTGGTGGTGTACCTCTTTTCTTAGCACTTGGAAGGCAGAGGAAGGAGGATGGATCTCTGTGAGTTCAAGGCCAGCCTGTTTTACATAGTGAATTTCTGGACAGCCAAGGCTACACAGTAAGACACTGTATCAAAAAAAAAAAAAACAACAACGAATAGATGAGTATAAGCAAGTAGGTAAAATAAGAAGGCATCTTTCATGTTTAATTGGCCTCATAACATCTCATGTCATATCTTATGTATAAACTACAAAGGAGAACAGCAGCACCTATGCAAAAGACAAAATATTTCAAAATATCTGTCCAACTCATTAAAATTTATATCATCAGTAAAGAGCCAACAGACTTCACATGCTTTTGGGTGTTACACTCTTAAGGCAAAAGTAATTTCCATCATATTTCATGGGGAAAAGGGTAAATTTATCAAAGCAAAAACAAAGGAACAATACAATAAAAATCACTGGCCTATATTTCTTATCAGCATCAAATCTCCTATGAGACAAACTGAGAAACTGCTCTGAATGTAAAGTGACTGAAAAAATGGAACCAAATAGAAAATACAACCTTGAATTGGATTTGGTGACAAAGAAACAAAACTGCACTGAGGGATGTTTTTAGAATAATTAATGAAATTGAAATATGAATGATGGAGAAGATTAGAGTACTTAATCAATTTGACCTTTTAAAAGTGATTCATGAACGTTGGCTATCTACAAGAATATCTTTACTTTTAGTAAATTTTAGCAAACAGAAGCAGAAGGCACACTAATGTATACACCATTCAAACAGTTAAAAGTCCACATGTGTGAGGAGAAGGAGAGAATCACAAGGCAAATGTTAAAATCTGATAAATCTTGGAAAATAAATATGGAAAGTGTGCATTAACCCTTATAATTTTCTGGAAGTTTAATAATATTTAAATATCATCTTTTAAAAGTAAAAACTATTAAGTGGAGATTTTTCACTATAAACAACATAATCTTGACAAAATGGTAGAATTAGTGTGAGTGCTTTGATCAGTGACAGATGAAGGAGCTCACAACCAGAATGCTGCTCCGTATACAGCAGCTTTGTTTATCTAAAAACTGCTTGCCACAATTTTTTTTTAGAGGAGGTTGCATTAAAATTGTGCACAGTGATACCCTGGTAGAGCCTGGTATTAGTTTCATCCATCAGGATTACGTTCGAGTAATAATGGTCTAATGAGTAATCATTTTCCAGTCAATCAATAACTGGCATGACTACATGAATGCATAAGGGCTGAGGATGTGTATACTTCAGTAAGTCTGATGCCAGCACTGCAGAACAAAACAGACTTAAGTAAAAACATGCATTTAGGATGTATACTGCACAGAACAACTGAAGGTGATTTTAATTTTTGTCTTATGTTTTCTAATTTTCCCACAATGAAAACAGATTGCTTTTTTAGTGAGAAAAAAAAACACCTTAAAGAGAGTGAGAGGATCTGAGAGGCAGCAGACTTCCTGGCATTTGAACTGCTTAGCATAACACATTCCATGGTGATGTCTATGTATTGCCAAGGCTGTCATAAAAGGAGCTCACTTACAGTTGATCTTGAAGCTCCACAATGATATATTCTAACTGTTCCTTCTCCAACTTGTGGGCCAGATCAGAATCTTCAATCCTCTGAAGTAGTACTTTATTCTGAGATACAGAGTCAGAAAGTTGGTTCTCACGAAGCCGTAAGAGTTCTTCAAGATAACCCTGGAAACACAGTATCACAAAGATAATGTCAACTGCAAAAACTCTCAGAGATCTTATGATAAATGCTGGGTACCGTCAGCATTACTTCCATCTATTTTATATGAAACATCTCAAAATATTACTTATGGTTTTAATTGAATACAGAAGCTTAGTATGCACTCTCCATTCTTGAATGTAATTTGGGGGGGGATGGAGTGGGAGACAGGGTATAGTTACATAGTCCCAGAAGACCCTAAACTTCAACTCCTGCCCTTGCCTTTCTCTTCCAAAGTGTAAGGGTGATTTAATGCACAGGACTTAAAGTGGACTTCATGATGATAAACACAGGTTTTCTAAGCCCATGAATATCTAATTACAAATATCAATACTCTAAATGACTTTCTATACACAGGGAGCTAACTCCAGATCCTACTCGTTAGGAAGAAATAGAAGGCAGATGACACCTTCAAAGCAATCGCTGCTTTCTTCTGGATGATTGGGCACCACATATTTGATGCTAACAGAAGTTAATAAGTTAATTGAACAGTAGGTGCAAGGTAGGTTCCAAAGCTAACCATACTATTAGCAAATCGTATAAAACTTGAGTCTGAGAATACTATTTCATTTCTGGGTATGCATGCCCATGCTTTCTGCTCCATGGCATCTGCTTCTTTCGTCCAATGTCTCCTCTTGATGGACTCCAAGGTTAACTGCTCAACACTACTAGGGCCTTGCTTGTTGAAAGATTTATTTTAGAAACAGAAACAACTTTTTTCTTCTGTACCAAAGACCAAAGTTGTTGGTTTTTGCTACTTCTTCCAACTAGTTATCAACTTCCTATGTAAATGAAGTTATTAGTGACTAGCAAAGGCAAAGGTTTCTGTTAGCTGGAGCACAGGATAATGACTGGGGAATGAAAGAGTCACCCATTTGACCTTTTTCTCACTGACATCCCAAAAGATCATGATCGAAGTATGGCTTTACAAGTATCTTTGGCATCTAGCTTCACTTCTTTAGGCATGCCCAAATAAGCCATCGCCAAATCAAGAATTCCTTCCCATATATCGGATAGAGATCTCACTGACAGATGTTTTCAAGAGTAGTTCAAGGCATTGTGTAAACACTTTAGAAAAGTAGACCAAAACAGAAGACACAAAGAAAAGGAATGTCCCAGCCATTTCCTTTCCTTTCCAAATTGCCTTTTATTTATTTGTTTTTTATGGGTATGGGAGTTTTGCCTCACACAATGGGGTACGGATGTTTGTGTACCATATGCATGCCTGATGCCTGTAGAGCCCAGAGGACAGTGCCAGTTTCCCTGGGACTGGATTTAAAGAGGTCGTGGCCCATCTTATGGGTGTTTGGTACTGAACCCCAAGGTACTCTGGAGAAGCAGTACTCTAACCATTGAGATATCTCTTGCCCCCCCTTCCACCTTGTCTTTAATGTTTTGGAGTTTCCTGGAAATCTGCACCAGGGACACCAAATTCTCCCTAAAATCACTAGTTCCGTGATCTCTGACACCATTTTCAAGCTCATCACATGAACTCTCTAAGTTTGGCTTGAGCAGTTTTCTGCTCTTCTAATTATGAAAGAAAGGCCTGCTTAGTACATAATTTTGCCACATACTCAGTGCCTTAGGGTTTTCTGTTACTGTGAAAAAAAAAAAAAAAAAAAACAACACCATGACCATGGCAATTCTTACAAAGAAACCATTTAACTGGGGTGGCATATAGTTTCAGGGGTTGGTCCATTATCATCACAGTGGGAAGCATGGTGGTGTGCAGGCAGACTTGGTGCTGGAGCAGAGGTTGCTACATCTTGTAGGGAACAGGACTAACTGTGACACTGAGTGAAACTTAAGCAAATGACTTCAAAGCCCGGCCCCTACAGTGATACTCCCAACACTTCCAACAAGCCCATACCCACTCCAACAAAGCCACACCTCCTAATCGTGCCACTCCCTATGAGATTAAGGGGGCAGTTACATTCAAACTACCACACTCTGCAGCTCCACTATTCACTGTACACTCCAGTATCTCTGCAGTTCCAGTACTCACTGTACATTCCTGCATGTCTGCAGTTTCCTTTCTGGAAAAGCTATAGTTTTCTTTACTAAAAAGGATACATCTCCTGATATCTATCTTCTCAGGAAGCAGGGTGTTTCAGAAAATTTCAAAATTATCTGCAAAACAGTGCCCCCCCCAAAGGTTATCAAAATGTCTTTTCATGATGCACAGAAACTTGGGCGTGCATTGATGAGTCTGGATATGCCTCAAGTCTTGGATGTCTTCCACTTCTTTGCAATAGTTGTTCAACAGTATGTACAATTTTGAGTAAGAAGCTTTGAAATGTGTGCAGTCAAAGAACTGGGCTACCCAAGGCACTGGATCCAGACATATCTGGCTTTAGTTTGCCTTTCTCAAATGAGCAACAGTGAGCAGTTACAAGTCTGCCACCAGGAGGCTAGACTTTCTCTGAGCAATAAAATTATGCTTTCTTTCCTTCAAGTAGGTCTATACCAAGCACATCTCCTTTAAGGGCCAGTTCAAATGTGTGACCCTCATAAACTAGCCATTCCTGCTTCTGAATTCTCCTCAGTGTTAGTAACTCATTTGTTGTTCTTATCTACTAGGTTATTGTTCCTGCAGCTGAGACTAAACTTAGGAAGTTCTTAGGCCCTCAATGAGTTGTTTGTTTTTTGAATCAGGTTTTTTCTGAGTAGCCCTGGCTGTCTTGGAACTCAGACATCTGCCTGCCCCTGCCTCCTGAGTGCTGGGATTACTGGTGTGAGTCATTATGCCTGGCTTATCTCTTGAGTTTAATTGCCTTCAGACCACAGGACCGTAAGGGAAAGGACCCAGACACCACAGAACGAAAGCTGCTTCTGGCAGTTGGAGCTCCCATCCTGCCCGGTGGCCCTAATTCATGCTGTGGATCTCAAGCTCCTCCATATTTTTCAAATCCACATGTATGTACATGTTTCTGAGTCATGCAGGTTCCCCACAGGGGCCTGGAGATATTAGATCCCCTGGAACCGGAGTTAAGGGTGGTTGTGAGCTACTTGATGTGGGTACTAGCAACTGACCCTGGATCTGACCCAGAGCAACAGGCATTCATAGGCACTGAGCCATCTCTCTAGCCCCTAAAGCTATTTAAAAAATAATTAATTTCATTTATGTTTATGGATGAGTGTTTTGGCAGCATGCACATATGTGTGTTCCATGAGCATGCCTGGTGCCCGTGGAGGCTAGAAGAGGGTTTCAGATCCTTGGAACTGAAGGTACAGATAGTTGTAAGTTACCATGCAGGTACTGGGTATTAAATATTGGGGCCTCTGTGAGAGTAGCCATACTGAGAAACCTCCCCATCCCTAAAACCATTTTTTTTGTCCAATTGGAGAAATTTTATATGTAATCTTAGGAAAATCTTGGTTAAAAATTCCCAAACCTTGTTAACAGTGGCAAGGAGAGGAGGCAGGGGGAACTGGGATTAGAATGTAAAAAGCAAACTAATAAAAAAGTGCCAACAGATCTATTAGAAAATTTACTCTATACAATTACTTTTCAAAATCACATAGATATTAACATTTTAGCCTAACAGCAGGAGGCAGTATAATGTTTTCAACAGACTACAAGCTTCTTGGCTATGAACTGCTGAGTGCCTATTCTAGCTCGACACTCACATCAGTGCGTGCTCTTATTTGTGACATTGACAAACTGCTCTCTTTGTTTTAGCTCCATGATACCTGTTGGCAGTGGCTAGTATTACTTGCCCCTGAAGACTGTTTTCATAGTAAATTCCATATATTCACTTCATAATCGAATCTCAATAATTGAAAATAATTTTATAAACAAACCTTTCTTTTCATATATTTTATTACAAACTATATACAAATATTTTCAAGCATTAGTAATTAAAGAATACATCACCCATTATCTAATCACCACTATACTATAGTAGGAGCCAAAATGATCTTCTATAATCTGCAGGAAGGGCAGTATCTTGAGATATGTGTTTATCATTTCCTTTTCTTCCCGTTTTTTTTTGTCATGAACATTGTCTTAACACATTGCTTAGTTTCCCTGAGTTTTATCGGTACTCTTTTGAAATATCCTTATTCATCTACATTTATGAGTTTAGCCAAATAGTCCATTTACTTTCAATACTGTATATTATTTTGTTGTACGAGTATTACAGTCAATGGCATTAGAGTTATTTTAGAATTTTCTTGATACTAACAATAATGCTATGAACACAGTTATGTTTCCTGAACCACACATCCCAGTGTTCTAAGAACTTCTGGGGCACAGGTCCAGGACATTCTCACAGTTATCAGATGTCTAACTGCTCTTACTATTGTTTTTATATTGTATACTACTCATATTATACATATTATCATGTATGATACTTCTAGGACTTCACACAGATATCAATGATATGCTAGGTTCACTTAATTCACTGAAGAGTATTTCTGGTTTGTCTAGAATTCTAAAGTCACTATATAGTAGGGAGCACTGCTATTAAAACAGTGCTACAGTATATCTCCAAACAGGAATCTGATGATTTCATTAGTTAGTTCTGGGGAACGACTTTAAAAATCGCTTTTCAAAAGAGCATAAGGGTATCAGTTTTGATAAGTGATACTTAAGAGATTCTTCATTTCAGTTTCCTGAGGCACTGACACGGAATTATTATAATTCCTCCTTAATAATTATTGGTGAGATTTGGCTATGTTTTAGTTATGCTGCTTACTCTCCTCATTTTAAAAACTGTTTACCTGTGTCTTAACTTCAGAACAAATTGTTATGCTGTGGATTTTTCTGTTTCATTGGATGTGGCAAATAATCGCCATTTGGTTCTGCTAAATGCTCTCTCTCTTTATTTAAATTTGTCCATATCAATTATTTTATTATTTTCCTTCCTTTGAATTGTTTGTTCTCTGCCTACATTTTAGAAAATTATCTGCCTAATTTCATTCTTCTAAGCCCTACAGATACTGGATAATTACCATTTATAAC